CTGAGACTGGGGCTGGAGGCCAAGGGCTCCATTGCCAAAGGCAGAAGAAACAGGCTCAGGCCTCTGCAATCATGGCCTAAGCATATGAGCTGTAAGCTCAGGACTCCACACCTGGTCCCAGGGCACCAGAATTATATCATTACATACAAGAAGCTGCATTTTAATAAGGTCCCAGAGTGAGATGGATAACATTCCAATAAAGAACTGCATTAAAAAAAAAAACAGAGTTCCATCCAATGCCACCAAGTAGCCAGGAGGATTGATGGGTGGTTTGGATAAGTGGAAGGAAGATGTGGGAATGTGAAGCCTCGCAACCTGGAGAGGAGATGAACAGGCTGAAGAGCACTGTTGGGTTTCCCTGTGTGAAGTCTGCTACTTACTAGTATGAAATCCTTGGCTCATAAAACCAAAGGGACAGAGGCAAGGCCAAACAGGAGAAGGCAGCCCCCAGACCCATGATACAGTTACCAGATATGGGAGCTAAAGGCAAGTTACAGGGAGAACCAGATAGCCAGCGGGCTTAGCCCTCTGGCCCGGTGGGTTTCCAGGCTCCTGTACTTATGAAGACAACATACCCCAAGCTCCACTAGCTCTAGCCTTGTGAGGGGGGGCACACTGCACAGCTGGAGAGTCCGCTGCCCACTGTGCCAGCCAACAGCACCACCCAGGCAGCTCACCTTGGAATTCCCCTCTGCACCAAGTCGCCCTCCCCTCTCTGCTGCCTGTGCCTGCTGTGCCTTTCACCCTATTTCCCACGTTGCCAGCAGGAACAGCTGGCCAAGAAAGGCTCTCCTAAGAAAGGGCCTCCAAATTCCCAGCCCCAGAACCAGACGGCCTCCTTCCTGAACAGTCCTATCCAAGGCTGCAAGGGAAAGTACATGGGAGTCAGACAAGCAATGATCGTCGAACAGATGTTCTTTCCTATCCCAGGCTTCTAACTGATCCCTGACTGCTTTTGCACTCTGCTGGCAATGGGAGGCCCAAGTACAAATCACAGAGGGACACCCTACACACACCATACTAGACTCCAAGGAAGGCTAGTGTCCCACCCGCACCAGGCCCTAGACTGTCTGACCAGGGCCTACAGTGGAACCCACAGCCATCATCCCCCACATGATTCTCAATTTAGGGAAACCCCAGACACAGGGGATTGTGTGCCACCCCCACCTGGCACATGCCTACGTCTATGTGTATTTCTCTAGATACTGACTTGGCAGTTTCGAGCAGGCTCTCAGTCAAGTCTCTGACAGTAGACTGGTTCAGAACCCCTGGCCAGAGCCCAGAACAGAGACCCACATGGTCTACCCAGGACCAAGGAGAGGAAAGAGTGAGAGCAAGGAAAGTATTTGACCACTCACTGTAGACTCTTGCCTCATCTGAGTGCCTATATTTGCACAGTTTGTGTCCAACATAGAAATTAACAAGAGGAGTACCATTTTCTGGGCAGGAAAACTGAGGCTCACAGAAGGTTGATAACTCAATTAGGGACTAATAGTGAACAGGTTGGGTAGGGGATATGTGGTGAGCAATGGTATTGATCTGGTTCAGCAACAAGAAGTCTACTGAGGCAAATCCTAGGACCTACCAGTATCCAGTATCCTCAGTATCCAGAGTTTCAAAGACCAACTGCTTTAGCCCCAATAAAAGGATGCTTTCAGATCCTCCAGTATCTTTCTTTCCTCGTTGATTTAAAAGGATCAGGCCAGGAGAGGGCGAGGAGGTGTGGAGAAGCCAGCTTTTGCCTGCTCGCTGCTGTTTGGGGCGCAACAGTAGGCTCAGAGCTAATATTCAGAAAAGAGCTTCCCTGGTCCACCCACACAGCCCCAAGACACAGTCTCAAACACACATCTCTGACATACACACTCCCAGGTCAACTCCCTGAGCCTGACATTTGAAATTTTGGCCAATCAGCCTCCAGGACAAAAGCAACTAGACCTTCTCTATGGGTTCCTGCTCTCTTTTCCCCCTTCCGTCTTCTTAGGAAACCTAGTGTGTTATGTGTATCTAGCTAGTGTGTTATGTGTTCTTATGTTCCAACTCCAAACCCAGGCTTTGAGGATAGAGGTCCCATGAAGGAAGGACTGGTTCTGGAACCTTGGTCAATAGCCTGGGTGTGTCCTTAGGGTTGCCACATGCTGGCCTCCCCCAAAGCATGAGCTTCAGAAGGCCAATGGGGTGTTGGAGAGGAAGGGAAGTTTTGAACCTGGGAGAAGCCACGTGACTAGCTAGGGTGATGAGAATGGCTCAGGCAAGAAGCAGAATAGTCAGGAATAGCCTAGTCTCTCTCAGTCGTGGCCCAGGTTATGGTGGGGCTCAAAACAAGCCCATGACTTTCCAGGGAAACGTACCCAGCCCTTCTCTCCTGGGACAGATGTCAGAAACAGCCCATCATAGCCAGCCCTGAACTTCAAACCGCAAACTCAATCTATCATAGTTTGCTGCTGCTTCTTTATTAAACCAATTCTGTTGGATCAATGCTTCCTGCCAGTCAAAATGATGAATAAATCCTTAGTGGGTCTGGGGAGTGCTGCAGAAGTTCTGGTGGGGGATGATGTCTGTCTCCAGAAAAAGGCCCATGGCCAGCACCTGAAACTTCATGGTTCAAGGCTTGGGATCTCCAGGGGGAGTGATGATTTGGATGGACTGATGTGTTTTCTTAACTTAGCAGATTCAGCTAATCCCTAGTCTCCTTGACTTCTGAAGCAAAGACTAGCTGTTTGGGCCGAAGAGCAGAAGGGGCACAACCACTGCCCTCCAGAGACTCTCACACTCCCTCTTGGATTGTTTTCCATCCTACAGACCCAGCATCGGACAGCTGCAAGGCTGGGCGTAGAAGATTTGCACTTCCAGCTACCAGTCTCTGTTGCTTGTGCAAAACAAACAAAACAAAAACCCACATTAAAACCCAGTTGGGCCAGGTGGTGGTGGCACATGCCTTTAATCCACGCACCTGGGAGGCAGAGGCAGATGGATCTCTGTGAGTTCGAGACCAGCCTGGTCTACAGAAGGAGTTCTAAGACAGTCAGGGCTACACAAAGTAACCCTGTCTTGAAAAACCAAACCAAACCAGACCAAACAAACAAGCAAACAAAAAAAACAGTTGGACCCTTGTTCTGTTGTCTATCAGTCTTCCTGTGCCCACCTTCTCCAATGCCTCAGATATGATGTCCCCAAAGCCTGTATTAGTGGAGGCTCTACAGCTAGGGGACTGTAAGTCAGCATGCTATGAATGTCACAGCTAAGACTAGGAAAGCTTTGGCTGTGTGTGTGGACGGGAGGGGGTGCTTCAGTCCCAGATCTTGACCGTCTAAGGGAAGATGGGTGCAGAGGGCAAGGCTTTGCAGCCAGAAGGTTCTCCATCAGTGTTTGTCACCGGACATGTCTGGGGTTGACAATGGGCTTGAAGATAAGAACTATGAATAGAAGTTTTCCCACCACAAAGATGGGCAGAAGTAGAGTATTTGATAGGAGTGCATAAGCAATCTCAAGTGATTGATACTGGACCTGACTGTCTCCACCACTGAGGGAAGACAAGCCTGGGATACCCAGAGACAGCAGGGGCAAAGGAGGCATGGCTTCTGTCCAGTTCTCCCTAGTTCCCCAGTGCCAGTCACAGGAATTCACTGAGGATCCTAAGGAGGATGCACCTTTGCTCACATAGTTTGAGGGCTACAGCTCTGTCCAGCAAGCCCACTGCCTCCTTGCTCCCTGAGAACAGGAAGAACAATCGATTTCTCAAAAGAAAAAGGGGAACGGAACCAAAAGAGGGTGCCTCTCTATTCACCACCTATTTTAAGCCACCAAAGTGTTGTCTGACTGGTCATTCCCAGCCAAAGAAATCTCTCTCATTGGATGGAAAACAGCTTTGCTCTCATTACAAATCAGCTTCCCTGGAGTTTGTAAAGAGGCTCTGGTCGGCAAAAACGTTCCTTTATACAGGGAGGCCAGCAGGTAGGCAGGCAAGGGAGACAAACAGGGCAGGACACAGGGAGAGAGAGGAAGAAAAACCCAGCTAGATCTTCATTCTAATCTGGTGTGTTAGGAAAGCCTCAGGAAGTGAGAGAGTGGGGGCTCGGAACCTTCTTAAAGGCATTCTTGATGCAAACTCAGAAGCAACCCATAACCTCTCTTATACACAACTCAGTCCACAGGCCTGATTGGGGAAGGGGTGCTTCACTACCAGATCTTGACCATCTAAGGGAAGATGGGTGTGGACGTAGCCACTGATTGGTATCCACTGGTCATTGGTATTAGATTCAGGAGATGAAAGAGGGGACAGGATCCCTCTCCCTGACTTGTCTGGAGATGGGGACAAGACACTGAACTAGTTGGGGATCAATAGACAACTGCATGTCAGTCAGGACACCAGACATCTTCACTGGCCAATGTGAGCAAGGTCATTCTGCCCTGCCAGTGTAAAAGCTAGCTGTATCAGGGTACCTGCTCCTGGTCCACCACTCAGCATGAGGGGCTGGGTAAAGCTGTGTGGAGAGCTTTCATCCTGGGCCTGAGGAGCCAGTGACCTCAGTCCTCCAGAAATCTGGCTGCAGCTTCGCAGGCCCAGCAAACATATTAATACCTGCAGTCAGCACCCAAGGAGCTGGCCCAGCTGCTAAGATATCTATCTCCCTCCATGACCCTTCTCTGCAAGCTGAATGACCTGGAGCTGCCTCTAGGATGGCCACCTTGACTCTGCAGCCTGCAAGGGGGAGGTGCATGGCTTGGCTGCAGGCAGGGCTAGGCCAGGCTCAGAACACCTCTGAGCTTGTCTCCAATGCGGCCCAGACCCTGGAAAAGAGATGGCAGGAGCCCGAAGACTGAGGAAGTTCCTAGTGTGCTGCAGGAGGTCCAGAGGTGTCTGGGACTCTCCAGGCGCCCCACTTCTCTGGGAGCTTCCAGCACAAGGAAGGAAAGTTAACTCAGGCTGGGAGGCAGGACTGGGAAGAAAGCATGCCTGCAACTGTACAAGGCATCCACAGCATCCCCACCTGGCCTCTTACCTGAAGTCACTGTAGGGGTGGATAATCCAAAACCCGGCTGACTTAACCCTCTCCTGCTCGCGCTCCACCGCTTTCTGACTGCCGAACATCCTTAGGGAGAATTTGTTGACCCCAGGTTGCAGCATGGCACCGAA